TTTTTTTCCGAACTTCTTTTTTTACAATTAGATTACGCTACCGTTTCTTTTTCAAAATTCTCTGAGCCATCAATTACTTCCGAATAAACTCTCAAAATTAATTCGGAAATAATCACTGTTTTCTGCAATTTCAAAATTTTTTTCGAACCTCACAAATAATTATTTCTACGAAATCATCCCCTGATTTCTTCGAAATAACTTGAAATTAATTGCTTATTCATAACCCCGAAATTCAAAATTCCTTAAATATTCCGTTTTTTTGGAATTTGCAATAATCTTGTTTTTCAAAAATCCTTTTTACAACGAATTTCTTGAAATAAATTTCGAAATACATTCATTGTTGCCGAATTTCAATATTATTTTCCTTTTTTGTAAATAAATTTCGACATATTTTGAAAATTTCTTTCAATAATTTCTATAGCTTATTTGTTTCCTCTGAAATTTCAATTTTTTGTAATTCTCCTTTTTCAAAAATCCAAATAGAGAATTTCGCTTTTGACATATTTTTCTATATACCCCCAATTCTTTTAAATTTAAATTCCGAAATTAATTAATTAACGAAAATTAATTATTTTTCGAAATTTGAATTTAAAATATTTTTTTGTAAACAAATAAATCAACTTTTTTCTACGTACTTATTTTTGATTAATTCTTTCTTCTCTTCCAACACTTCTAAATTTGTTGTTAATAGATTTTTAATTCGAAAAATTTTACTCCCAAAATTTCAATAAATCTGACAATATCCTTTTCTACCTAAATAAAGTTTAAAATTACGAAATTAATTGAATTAATTATTTTCAAAAATTAAATTTAAATCCATCTATTTTGTAAATTAAATTCGAAAATAATTCGGCAATTATTCGTTTCTGAAATTTTTCTTTTTGCAATGCAATTTTGAAAATCTTTAAATATTTTTATTTTCTGAAAATTTCTTAAAAAAAAAAAAAAAAAAAAATTCTAACAAATTTGTATTTGTATGCTACCGAACCCCTAAGCTCCCTTTCTACCCCCCCCCACTCTCCGCATGACCCGCAGCACCAGAAACTCCCAACGCGCCGCCGCCAACGCCGCTGCTGCCATTGCCGCTGTTGCTGCTACCGCCTCCCCTGCTGCTGTTACTTCCTCCTCCCCGTCTTCCCCCGCCGCCTCACATTCGTCCACCCCAATGGCCGACGGTGCTTCCAGCATCAACATGGGCTCTCTCCGCGCCGACTCAGTCGATAGCATCGCCCGCAACCTCACCGGCGAACAACCACCAGCAAACACCGCCACCCCCGACCTCTCTGCTATCCTCCACGCACTTAACTCCGTCACCGCCTCTCTCGACGACATAAAGGTCGACGTGTCATCCTTACGCGACCGAGTCACCACGCTCGAAGGGACCACCCCCCCCATCACGGTCGTCACCACCACGCAAACTACTCCAACCTCCACAGTGCAAACCACTCCAACCTCCACAGCCGCCTCTTGCAACACCCCCCCGCCGACCTCCTCCACTCCTACCACCTCTACCGCCGTATCCACCAACCCTTGCATCCCCACCATCGTTCTGTTCCCTCCACCTCCTCCCTCATC